TGAAACCGACACTTGCTTGAACTCACTTCCGTATGGCTCCATTAATCAAACGAAAATCAAAGAACCAGAAATTTKGTCTATATAAACTTACTTGAAGTCAAACCAGAACCCAAATGCTTGAAAACTAGGGTTTTACTCCGTCCAGCTGTTGGGGAGGAAGAAAGAAGATGCAGCCACTCCTACCAGAACTTCCCAATCTCTTCCAAACCTGAACCGCCCTCCTTTAGGAGTCACAAGACACCTTCCAAGCATAGAGTGCCACACCCAAAGCTTCACCTTTACCTGTACCTTCGAAAATCTCTAATCGGCTAGGGTTTTAGGCAGCAACAGAACAACAACACTTCTTGGCAATATCCACCAGATTTAAACTCTCCAAACCCTCTACCAACTAGGCCAGAGATCCTCTGAACTATAGAGAATCTATCTCTCCATACACTCTCTTAATCTAAGGGTGTATGGGAAAAGAAGAAGAAAAAAGGAAGAAATAGACCTGCTCTGATACCAAGATGTAAATCAGTCCTCAAATATTAGGTGTAAATTTGAAGATTAGAAGAAAAAAAAAGAAGAGAAGTAAGAACAGCAACACAAGAGAAGAAGATGGCAAAAAGAGAAGGAAGAAGAAGAAGATTCGAATTATCTTCCCTTTCCCCTCTAATCTTTTCTTTATTAAGAATTAAAATTAGAGTAATGACAAGTATGCCCTTAAGTGGGCGGCCAGCTAGGCAGTAACATAAAGAGATTAAACAAAAAGAAATAACAGGCCCATTAAGAGAGGTCCATTAGCCAACAATAAAAGAGAAGATATTACAAGAGAAGATACTAGGACCCATTCGGCCCAGTCTCTTTACACTCACCAAAAAGAATCTGGTGAGGAGAGGAATCCAGCTCCAGAACCTGTATTGTGTGATCTGTAATCAAGTGGAAGAGGAGAATAACCGCCTTTTCCTGCATTGCTCTATGTCTTATGCAATCTGGAGCCATTTCTTGTCTCTTTGGCAGCTCTACTGGGTCATGCCAGTGACTGTGTGTGATCTTTTGTGGTGCTGGGAGCTTAAGGAACAGTCCAAGATCACAAAGAGCGTATGGTCTTCCATCCCAGCTATGGTATTAAGTACTATTTGGGCCGAAAGGAATAACATAATTTTCCAAAACAAACATAGTGAAGTGGATCAACTTATTTCCTATATGTTTGGAAAGCTAATATCCTAGAATGTTGCTGTGAAAGGACTTCAACCAAGGACTTTAGGAGCCCAGCTGCTGGCTTGGGAGATCTAACTTTATTTGTACTCTTGGTTTTGGGCTTTAGTGGAAAGGCCCTTTGTAATTTGTATGCTGTTTCTTCACCGATATAAGTTACCTTTTTTCAAAAAAAAAAACAGAACTTATATTAATTTTCTTCTCTACTAGAAGATAACAAAAGACATCTTTATAGAATATAGACTCAAGGTTGGATTATGCACCTTTGACATCAATTTTATTTTCTAAATTGTCCAAAATTGGATAATTAAAAAATGCTAAATTTCCATTAACAAACTTCTACCAAAAGAAAATACCATAACTCTTATTTTACCAATCCTATGACCATGGAAGACGAAGCAGGGGCCATTGCTTGGTGTAATGGTAAAATCTAGGATGGAAAGCATGAGAACGCCAGCTTGAGTCCAACAGCAGCCACTTTGTACCAAAAAAAAAAAGCCAAAGGTTAGGACTGTTATGACTGTATCCAGTTTACCCCTCTCAAGATAGTGCAAGGGATTACTAGAGCCTGAGGCAGGAACCAGGAGCCAGGAGGCATATTAAGGTGGAGTTGTTCACTTGAACGAACTGAGGCTCCAGCTATGAAAAAATAAGAGAAAAACTTCTTATATCACAATAGATAATCCAAAGTTCCGAAGAAATAAAATATTGTTAGATAATTGGTTAGAGCACCATGTTATTGACGTGAAGGGTGTTATAATGTAGGTTCAACTCCTACATAAGGTAGTCTGTTTAAACTCTAAATATTATAGTTACAACCTACCAATATTAGTAAATTCAGACATCAAACTCAAGGATAATTCCTCAATACATAGCAACAAGACAGGTGAGACTCCCCACAAAAGAGAGCCTTGCCTGTGAGCTTAGGCCTGCCTCTAAAACACTGTAGGAATCAATAATCAAACCAACCTAAAACATAGGAGATAGTGCATACCACTGTCAGATCAATAATGGGGAAACCTAATATTAGAAAGTTGTGCCACAAAAATATTGAAATTATTCTAAGAAATAGAAAGTCTGATTCAAATGGAAAACCAAAAATGAAAAAAAATGTGCAATGGTAAACATTTGCAGAACTTCCCTCCCAAAGAAAAGGCATAAAGCTCATAATGAGTTGAGCATGAAAATTTTGTTGTAGACATATGAAGTTGCCACACAAGGCAGAACAACAGGATAAATTGTATATACCAGTAAGCAGTTGCACTTCAGTATCCTTCTAGTCATTAATTGTTCAGGGCATTACAACTTGACTTATGGTGGTAGTTCAATCAAAGGACTCGATTGATTTGTATGATTTCAGCAATAAAGTTAATCCTCAATCATGTAGAAAGACAGATCCAATTCCTTTGGCTTATATGCTAATTGGTTTTATTAGAATAACTGAATAAAAGGTAAATTAACCTTAATTACAATTTACACGTAATCTATATGTATCATTTAACATTGATAAATTCTGTTATTTGTCCATTTCATCTATATGGCTTGTTTAGCTTGATAAAGTTGTTTCTTCAAGAAGCTCTTTTCTTCAGGATATTAATTTCTCCCAACTACTCCACAGATTGCTTTGCTCATGTAAGCACAAACAGTTCTGGAAAAGGTATGATGCCAGTTATATATTAACTTCTTTCTGCATCATATGAGTCTTTCTTTCAGATTTTAGTTGGTGAATTAGAAGTCATAACTTATACATAAGTCAAAAGCACAATATAAGCACCAGCTTATCTACTTATTTTGTTTTCCTTTCAGTACCACTTATTATCTCATACAATGGAGCTAGTGGAATCTACCCCGGTTCTACGGATATTGCATATATGCAAGCTTTTGATGATGGTGCTGATGTTATTGACTGTGCTGTTCAAATGACACAAGATGGGGTTCCCATATGTTTGGGCTCTATAAATCTTATGGACAACACAAATGTTATTCAAACAAATTTTCTCTCTCGCCTCACTACCATTCAACAAATTCAGCCAAACCCAGGAATTTTTACATTCAACCTTACATGGGATGAGATTAAAACCTTAAAGCGTAAGTTATAATTTGTTTCTTCTTTCAAAGTTGTCTGATAGATCAAATGATCAAAATGGTGGCCTTCCATTATCTGATTAAGAAAATCATAGCATGCTTTAAAAAAATTGAAGTATTGCATATAAGATCTTGAACTTTTGGCTCAGTTTGGGAAGAGTGCATATACAGATATGTACAATGCAAAATCTTGTATATGGTATTTCTAAACCTCGTATTTGTACTGTACATATTTCTATTTGTACTCTTCCCAAACTGAGCCTTTAGAATCTTGAAAGAGACCAAAGATTGGTACATTTGGTATATACTGGGGCCTACTAATTTCTAATGAGAAATATATCTATGATGGATCATCTAAATTTCATTGCTAAGAAAACATTTTGAAATTCCATGTACAATGGGAGGAAAAAAGTCCTGCAATCTTCACATGGTGGGAAGAAGATGGAAATTAAAGATCTTATCATCTGAATTATGAGAGAAAGATATTCAGATATAAATAATGAAGAGACCAAAAACAGAAGAAACATTGCACCTTTAGAGATAAAAAGAGATAAGAAAATCACACTCTCACACATAGGCAACTTTGGAAGACAATTTTAATCCCATCAAATTTCACATTCAAAATTTCAATAGATCATTCTATTTATAGGTTCAATATAAGGGCCTGGATCTTCTTTTAGAAACTCCAAATTTAGATAGGAAACAAACTCAAAATAACTTCTAATTATTTCAAAACTAAGGAAAACCCATAAGTAACCCATAGGAGCACCCAAATAATGAGTCTAAATCCTAAAACAACTCTAATAATGCTCTATTGTTTCTACCTCAGCTAAACAAACCAAAAGACAATTCCACAATAAACCCAGGAAAGAAGGACAATCTGTCGTGGACTGACACTCTATCACTAGAATGGCCATAATTCCTTAAAAAACATAGAAAATTTAACCTTTAAAGAGTAGGCTAGAAGAAAATTGCCATGATTGCATCTTCAAGTTTAAATATTCTAAAATTTCTTTGTTGTGATGTGTTAAAATTCAGATATAGTGTCCGTACGATTTCAGATAAGAAGAAGAAAACTGTTCCAGTTGAACTAGAGAGAAAAATCTACTTCTCTAGTCGGCCAGCCTTTATTTATACTTTTCTAAACAAACCAGAATTACTCTTATACCCTCACTTAAGTGAGAGCCACATCAGCTAACTTAATATCTACTCATCAGTACAATTAACATATAACTTAAAGTAAAAAGCCTATACTACCCTTCTACAGCCGACTCCAACACTCCCCCTCAAGTTGGTGAGTATATGTCATATAGTCCCAGCTTGTTACATATGTAGTCCACTCTTCCCCGATTCAATCATTTGGTAAACAGATCTGCCCATTGATTTCCCATGTTCACATATGTTGTACTTATCACTCCATTAAGCACCTTCTCACGTACAAAGTATCCATCAACTTCTATATGCTTCGTTCTTTCATGAAACACTAGATTAGAGAAGATATGAATTGCAGCTTGATTATCACAATATAGCTTCATAATCGTGTCAATAGAGTACCACATTTCCTCTAAGAGATGCTTCAACCACACTAGTTCACATGTTGTGTGTGCCATGGCTCTATATTCGGCCTCTGCACTGCTTCTTGCTACCACTGTCTACTTCTTACTTTTCCATGTCACTAAGTTCCCACCAAGAAAAGTGCAATACCCTGTAGTGGACCTTCTGTCAAATATGGAACCGGCCCAATCAGCACCTGTGTATCCCTCTATCTCAAGACTTCCTCCACTCTTATATAACAAACCATGACCTGGAGCTCCCTTCAAATATTGCACAATCCTTAGAACTGCCTCTCAATGTGGAATTTGAGGATTCTGCATAAACTGACTCACAACACTAACTGCAAATGAGACATCAGGTCAAGTGATGGTTAGGTAATTTAGCTTACCTACCAACCTTCTGTACCTTCTCGGATCCTCAAACTCCTCACCTGCATCACTACTCAACTTAACATTTGGTTCCATGGGTGTTTCAGTTGGTCTGGCACCTAACAACCCCATTTCCTCTAGCAGATCAAGGGCATATTTCCTTTGGCATAGATTAATACCATTCTTGGACCTCACTACCTCTATCCCTAGGAAGTATCTTAATTTGCCAAGATCCTTTGTTTGGAAGTGATCATGCAAGTAAGTCTTCAACCTGTCAATCCCTAGTCTGTCATTGCCTGTGATAACAGTATCATCTACATATACCACCAATAGGATCTTCCCAGCATTGGATTCATAGCTGAATACGGAATGGTCAACCTAACACTGTTTCATTCCAAACTTCTTCACCACTTCACTAAATCTACCAAACCATGCATGAGGAGATTGTTTAAGTCCATAAATAGCAACAAACTTCACTAAATCTACCAAACTTCATCACTTCTTTAGTCTGCACACCTTATCACCCTCCCCCTAAGCAACAGACCCTGGTGGTTGCTCCATGTACACTTCCTCAAGGAGATTACCATGTAAAAAGGCATTCTTGGTGTCAAGCTGAAAAAAGGGCCAATCAAACATAGCAGCAAGAGAGAGATCAGAACACGAACAGACCCAATTTTGGCAACTAGAGAGAAGGCGTCTGTGTAATCGATACCATACAATTGTAATAACCTTTGACAACTAACTGAGCTCTCAACTATTCAACACTCCCATCAGGCAAGTATTTAACAGTGTACACCCACTTACAAACCACAACATGCTTACCAGGCGGAAGAGTGGTGAGGTCCCATGTATGAGTATGAGTCAGGGTCGAGAGTTCTTCCATTCCTTGGCGCCACCCTGGAAAAGTGAGAACTTCCTGGACATCCTTGGGAACAAAGACAGAGGATAACATAGAAACAAATTGGCGATGGGAAGTCGAAAGGTGAGGTACAGAAACATAATTGGAAATGGGGTGAAGAGTGCAATTGCATTTACCTTTCCGTAAAGCAATAGGGAGATCAAGGTCAGAAACGGGGGGTGGGGCTGGGGTGGTAACAACTGCCGGATTTGTCGATGGTGACGAAGCTAGAGGAGGACCGGTACCTGACGATGTGTATACACTTGCCAGATAGGTGGTTGTTCTGCAGGTAGTTACGCTAGAGGTAAAGACTTGGTCACAACTAGAACAAGAGGAACATGTTCCTCAACTGGAACTGGAAGAGGAGGTGATAGTGACGGAGGAGAAGAAACATCCGACCCAGAGAAAAAAGGAACAGTGGGTGTTCACTGTTAAGCATGGGGCTGATGGAACCGTGGAGAGGTATAAAGCTCGTTTAGTGGCAAAGGGGTTTACTCAAGTATATGGAGTTGATTATGTAGAAACCTTTGCCCCTGTTGCCAAAATGAACTCTATTAGAGTACTTTTCTCTTACTGCTAATCTGAATTGGGATCTACATCAGTTCGACATCAAGAATGCCTTCTTGAATGGTGACCTTGAAGAGGAAGTTTATATGGTTCAACCCCMCRGTTTTCTGGCTCAAGGAAATGAACAGAAAGTGTGCAAGTTAAAGAAGTCTTTATATGGGCTGAAGCAATCACCAAGAGCTTGGTT